TAGTCCTATAAATTCTAGTATTGAATATAAATCGAACATGTCTCCATAGCGCAGTGCGTAGTTTCCGACCACGAACCGAAGATTCAGAGTTCAAATCCGGGTCAGGTGAAAGACTTTTATTTTATTTTCGTTTATATTCTGATAGTAAAGTATTAAATAATTCTGGTAATTAAAAAAAACAAATATTTAATACTTTACTATCAGAATATGAACGAAAATAAAATAAAAGTCTTTCACCTGACCCGGATTTGAACTCTGAATCTTCGGTTCGTGGTCGGAAACTCTACGCACTGCGCTATGGAGACATGTTCGATTTATATTCATTACTAGAATTTAAAGGACTAATGAAAATATAGGATCTTCTCTAATGCGCAGTAGGGAACGCAACGTTCGGCAGCCAGACGGGCCGCATGTATTCAGAAACATAGTAAAAGATATATCAAACCAGACGTCTTCATCTTGTTTTCGACGTTGCTAGCTCTCGTACTATTATCTCTATACATAACCCAAAGATATTATTAGTTACCTACCGTTTAATGGTAAAATAGAAATGCTTAAAAACGAATTTTTGTAGTTTTGTTAGCGAGTAAGTAGCGATTTGTAATATTTTTATTAGATGCCTGTATAATTGATAAATTATTGTAAAAATTAAGTAGAATATAACATTTTCTAAAAAGCAAGCAACGTATATTATTTATGAAATTATAATATGTTAATGTATAACTTTTGTAATTTTTAATATTTTTTATTGCTTTCTTTTGGTTTGGTACAAAAATACACTTTGAACCATTATAGTCTAATACTACAGTATTACATTTTAATAATTAGCCTAATATTCCAATTTTTACTCTATATTGTAGTAGATAGAATCTGGATATGAATTATTAATATTGTTTTAGACAGCCTTTATGCGACAGCATGCCATAGAAACTAATTGGAGGTCAAAGCCAATTAGACCACCAAAAATGTTAAAAGGTCATGATGATCACGTTATAACTTGTTTACAATTTTCTGACAATAAAATTGTTAGTGGATCTGACGACAACACTTTGAAAGTTTGGTCTGCAGTAAGTGGGAAGGTAAGAAAATTATTTCATTAAATAACTTTACTAAATGTATTGTTCAGCTAGGCAATAAAAAACTGCCATAGTTTTTAGAAACATATTGAAGAACCTTTTGTATAATGAGTTATTCAAGGCTAATCTATGTAATACAGAAGTTTATTTTTGAACTAGTTTTTTAGAAACAGTCTATTAGTAACCTTGGTAACCTCGACCCTATCGAATATTTTTTTGTAATGCGCAAGCGCATCTTTAAGGTGCAGCTTTAAGTGAATGCAATATTATTGTAATCGCAAAACATTTTAAGTCTATAAACCTGACTCAATGAAATTTTAGCAAAAATGTTTAAATTTGTTGTATAATTTAAGACACCGAGCAGCTCTTCATTTTACTTTATAGAGTAAATGATTGTAACAGATATTTTATTTAGATTAAAGCTGCAAAAATTAGTTTAAACCGAATTTTATTATCGCTATGTTGGTCACGTTGCCCCGTGTTCAGCAATGTTGTCCTTTATTATTTGACAATTATCCTAGTGTCATTATTTTGTATAATATCGTGTTGTTGTTGAATCTTTGTGAGCAATTCTCGTTTTTTTTTGCCTATTTTCATAGTATTTTTTTAAAAATTGCACTTTTAAACACAAACAGTTCTTTTAAGAACTAAATTTTCGAGTTTTTGTATTGGATTTCTTGAAATTTTGTTGAAAATACGTCGAAGCATTTAAACAGTCGAAGCAAAGAGCTTATAGTTTCCCTGTTTTTTTTTAAACTATTTTTAACGAGAACGTGACAATAAAGGTCCTTTATTACCCTTGACTGCAATCAGAAAAGTAAATTTAATTGATAAGCACATTATACTACTTTCAAAGTTAGTTTTTATTAAATTCTGTGATTATTGGTTTGTGCATTAATACCACCCTCTTACTTGTTATTACCACTCATGGCGTAGTAAGATGTACATCAATAAATAAACAACCCACAATAACACTTATAATAATCTTCATAATGGACTAGTTTTTGCCAATATTTAATAAGTAAAATCTATACTAATATATAAAATCCTTAAGTTACTGATATACTGATTAATCACAATCCTGCTCAAACCACTCAACGTAAGAAGCTCAATTTTGGCATACAGGTTGATTCTAGGGTGTAGAGGTTCGATAAGAAGGGATTTTTCGAAATTCCAGTTCTAAGAGGGTGAAACGACCCATCAAATATTACAATATTTTTTATTTAGTTTCCGAAAAAACGCTTAACACGTATATTTTATTTTGTTTTTTTACATATTTTAAGATTCTTTAAAAATGTATACAGGGTGTTTCGAAAAATCTAGTCATTGATTAATCACGATCCTGCTTGACGTAAAAAGCTGATTTTTGGAAAATAGATTGACTTTAGGGTGTAGAGGTTCGATAAGAAGGGATTTTTCGAACTCGAATTCTAAGAGGGTGAAACTATCCCTCAAATATTAAAATATTTTTTATTTAAAAACCGGTGAGTTTTTCGGAAAGACTCTTAAACACGTATATTTTATTTTGTTGTTTTACATATTTTAAGATTTTTTATAAATTTATACAGGGTGTTTCATAAAATATGACCATTGAGTAATCACGATTCTGCTTAAACTCTTGACGTTTAAAGCTGATTTTTGGCAAACGGATTGACTGTAGGTTGTAGAGGTTCGATAAGGAGGGGTTTCTCGAATCTCAAATTCCAAGAGGGTGAAAACAAACGCCCCTCGAATATTACAATATTTGTTATTTAAAAAACGGTTAGTCTTTCGGGAAAACGCTTGGACAAGCATAATTTATTTTGTTTTTTTACATATTTTTTTTTAAATCATACAGGGTGTTCCAAAAAGTTTTATAATTTCTTAACCACGATTCTTGGCTTGACGTAAAAAGCTTATTTTTGGCAAACGGATTTTTCGAAAGTCAAATTCCAACGAGATGAAACTACCCCTCAAATATAACCAAGTTATATAATAATATCGCCATATTGTTTTTTCTCATGCTGACATAAATGTGAGAAAATTTTATCCAGTTTGTATGTTAATGGAAATTCTTGCTTTGCTTTATTATCACCATTACAAATGATTAATTCGACGCGAACGAAGTCGCTTATACACGCTAGTAAGTTATAAAACAAATAAATCAATTAATCACTAAAATATTAGTTATTAAATTAAAAATACAACGTAAAACTCTTTAAAAAATGATATAATAAATATGTTGTTTGTCAATTTTAAATTAAGATTCGTCTCATAAATCCATCACAATCCGGCAGCGTTGTCGCGATCGGTTGTCACTCAAAGTTGATCACGTGCATCGGAAATTGTTTTGCGATTGCTATAGTTATTACAAACTATACAGGGTGCTACAAATTCGAGGTACGAGCATTGGTATCTCGGTAACCATACGAACATTGTTAAATTGGGGCAAAGTTGCGCTTTAGGATGTTCACCAAGATGCCATCAAATTTTTTTTTTAATTTCAAGGATTGCTGAGTTTTTTGGAAAAAACGGATTTTTTTGAAAATCATTTTTATTTTTTCCTGGCGTTACTTTTGAGGGAATCAAAAAACTAATTGCACATTCTCATTGCCACTTTATTAGGACTATCTGATAGTACTTTTAGATTTTCAAATTAGCTGATAATTTGTGAGATACAGTGGCCAACTTAATTTTTTTAAATACGGACCTGCATTTTTTATTTGATATTTTGAAAGAACTCGCTCCCCTGAGTACAATGATATGCCACACTTAATAGTTTTTTTTGTTTCGGACATTTGAACATAATTTATTTAAACTAATTTCAAGTCCGGCTCTGTTTTTTTTTAAGATCTAATCTATTCATCCTTACAATATTGTAAAGTAATTGTATTGAGTAAAACATTGAATACGGAAAATCAAATGCAATAACAAAAGGGGCCTTACTTGGCGTCATTTGTAAAAGTGAAATCAATACATTTCAACATTTACAATAAAGAGTACAAAATGCATTCGGAACTATAACAAGAAGATATGTTCAAAGAGCTACAAATAAGATTGAACAAAAAATAAATTTGTGCATTAGGGAGGGTGTTAACCCTTTCGAACATGTAGAGCATTAGAAACTAGTTTATCAGAATGAATGGGAGGGGGGTTAATCACTGCGACCTTACAGATCTATTGTGTCCAACTAGTTTATAGAAGTTTATTTATTTATAATAACTACGATTAATATTATGAATATTATTAGATCGTT